CACAAAATTATGGCGATACTATGCTGTATTGTTTTTTTCTCCCATCCCTTATAACTGTGTAATATATATCTTTATTCTCTTGTAACAGAAATAATTATTAGAAATAATAATTATAATATATAATATATATTATTATTTCCTTCACTGGTAACTATATTAACAGAAATAAAATCACTATGTATGTATGGTGCCAAAAGAAGAATAATTAAATAATTAAAACTTCCATTTATTCAATGTTGCCATAGTGTTGTGTGACAGGGAATAAGACCATTGTATCCGTTCCTCCCCCCAAAATTCCTACTGATTGTGAATTTGTTTTCCAGTCTAGAAAAGTGTTAGTGACTCTCGATCATTACTGAAACACAACACTGCACTCTTTAATATTTCACATTATATCTAAATAGTTTCTCTTCTGACCCGCTGCAGTGTCCTCAGTGGTTAGATATAATAGGTTTAAACTGTGATTTGTCAGTCCACAGTATGTTAAACTGATATTCCCTGATCCAGTTCCAAAAGCGCTAACCCTTGACTAACCTTCTATTTTGAAGGCTGACAAATAGCTTTGCTAAAGCAACACAGCTTGTTAGAGGCATCGTTGTGCACTTGACACTGAAACAGGAACATGTTCCTATTAAAATCTGCACACATTTCGATGCTGATCTTTCAGTGTCTAACCAATGACTGATGATGTTTATTCTTATTGAACTGTTACTCAGAGGGATCTTTGTCTGTTTCTGCCCTTTCAGTTTGATTGAACCATTGTAGAGCATTTTGTTCTCCGTGTGCAAAACAAGCCCTTCATACAAAAGAAAATCTATTTGGAAAGGGGACTTTCTTCAACCTGAAAGGACGAATGACCTTTCAAATATACAGAGAAGTCCTCTCAGTCAACTGTCTGAACGCAATCAAGCTTTTGTGGCAGGGGACTCCAAACTTTTGAACAGCAGTGTATCTCAAGACACTTCCTGTTTGAACTGAATTTGTGAAGAACACATTTATCTCTTTGTTATCAGTGCCACACTGTGCTGTAACAGATGCAATTGGATCAGTGCTGCTGTATTGACCAAAATCAGAACCAAACACTTGACAGTACTCACATACACCATTGACAAGGGACCACTAAACCGTGTTGGTGAAACTCCAAAGACGTACTTCAGCTGTGCCACCACAGCATGGGCTGCAGCTGCTGTTGTGTAAGCCCGCACCAGAGGTTCAGACAAGTACGTTCCTACAAATCCAAACTTTACCGAACCCAGTGCCACCTATAGAAACAATCATGTATTCATATATTAGCTGTGACAGCAATATAAGACACTGTAATATCTGTGGGAAGCTGTGTTCAGACCTGAATAAGTCCTCCTAGGACAGTAGTAGCAGCTGCCACCTGCACCCTGTACGAGTCCCGAGCAGTTATGTCAACTTCTGCAGTGATGTTGGTCCCATTTGTAATGAGGAAATCTGTGTCTGGAGCAAGTCTCTCTGTCACACTACCCACCATGATGCTGAGCACAGTAAATGTACCTGAGTGCAATTAAAGATAGCAACACATGTTAATACAGGGGTTATAATGGCCAAGGTACAACAACTCTATCTCTCTCTACTCACCGATGGATATATGACGTGATGTTCCAAAAAAGAAGTAGATCAATGCTGGATAGAGGGATGAGTAGAGTCCAAACACAGCAGGTAGCGAAGCCAATAATGCATATGCCAAACCTGTCAAAAACAGAAGCCAGGGTTCCAACACCTTCTTAAACATCAAATTCAAAGAGTTTTCAATGACTTTTCAGACCCAATGCCTTCAAATTCAAGGACCCAACATGACATAGTTTGAGACCCAGATCAAAGTTTATCACCGTTACAACACAGAACTTTTATAACTCACAGGCAACAACTGACAAACAGTGACAGCAGACAATATTGAAAGAACGTCAATATCTATTTTGGCACAAAATACAGAAATTCACACACTTTCTATTTCAATGTCTATTACCCTATACTTGCAAGGCCTTTCTTCCCTCAAATTCATAAACTTCCCAGGATTTTAAGGGCCCTTGGAAACCCTGAAAAGTTCTGTCACACCTATCTCAGTTTGCAACTGTACTTGTACTGCGGTATTACTGGCAAATAAAATATTAAATACAGTGAACAATGAATAAAAATATTTCCAGAGGTAAAGTATTTGTACAAAATATTGTTTGTGCATTACAAAGAGAGTATGGAATAAAATTAAAATTCTACATTATGTTTATACCCTCAAGAAATTCACTCAACATACAATGGCTATGGAGTAAAAATCTGACTTCTTCTGCAATACTGGTGAGATTTATTCAACCATGATGGATTGTTGATGTACCTTGAGGCAGGTGCATTATGCCCACACTGATGCCAGAGACGAGGTCTGGCATGCCATAGTCCCAGACTGAGTACTTGGGCAGCCAGTACAACACAGGCAAGCTGCTCACCACGCTGCGCTTCAGTTTTGGTACTGTACATCTGGAGGAGATTTGAATGATACACAAAGAGCGAAGTGAAAGTCTGTTTATTGGCTGATATTTTAAAGCATAAATTTACTGGAGATGGGTCTTTATTTTATCTTTGACAAAAGGAACAGAGCACTTGTCTACATTTACAGCACAGTGAGCATCACTGTTATAAAACCACAGAATGTGACTTACCTTAAGGAGGCTTTAAGCCGTTCAGTTGGAGGAGGGTGAGTGTCAGAGTATGTTTTTCTCTGTGTAACCTCTTCCAGTCTCTGCTCATCCAGCACTTCCCGCTCCACTCTGTACTTCCCAAATCTATGTGTAGAGTCCATGGAGCTGAGTCTGTCCAAATCTGTGCAACTTATTTATTTTACTCTTTTAATATGCAATGCAGTTGATTTGATCCAGAGACTATTGTTCGCTGAAAACTGTCTCAAGAGCAGCTTTATCTGTATATGTACATCACATCAGCTAATGGTTAACTCTATTCAGGATGTCATGGGCAGAGCCTCTTCATGACAACGACGGCTGACCCGAGACACAAATCATGTAATTATGGTTAAAGAGGAAAGGTTAGCTAGGTGGAATTTCAATGGATGTTTGACAGGTGTTTTCCGATCCTTCCATTTTTTTCCATTCACTAGCAAAAGTAAAGCTAATGAACCATGAAATGTCACCTTCAGCTTAAGTTAAACTGGTCAAGTGAGTTCCTGTGATGTCCACCTCTTGACAAAATACTTGTTACAATTGTTAAATAATGTTACATATGGGATTCACACCATTATTTGGCAATGCTGAGATTTTACCTGCCATAATTTACATCCCACTGTTACATCAGCCAAGATTAAAATATTTAGGATGCTGAAGAGTTTTTTATTTATTTTTTTCTTTAAAATTCACTAGTGGTCAGCTTTGAAACCTGGAGCGACATCACTTTCACAAGTCTTTAAACCTTTGAACCCTGAGCTCATTGGTGAAATTACTTTCAAAAACATGGGAAAAAGCAACAAGCAACTTGGTAAGAAATATCCCACAAACTGTAAAAAAAAAAACAACAAACAACAAAAACTAAGGACAAAGAAAAAAGCAAGAGAAAAACTATATTCACAATAATAATTTTATAATAATTTTTAATAATAATACTTTCTGGGTCATTTCCTTGTTTGTTTTGACCTTTCTTTCTTTTTTGTAAATTATTTTATTGTTTTAATTTTCTCTGTTTACTAATTTCTTGCTAGTTTTTTGGGTCATTTTGTCTTTTGTTGCTCGTTGCCTTCTTCCCATGGTTTGAAAAGAAATCAAGGAAAACTTGCTCAGGTTTCACAGAGGTAATATCTGATACAATAGTGGCAAGTCAGAGAGTAAGATATATATTTAGATACATTTTATTTAAAAACTTTAGTATGGTTGGTGCAACACTCTCAAGATTTTAGATTTTGGGAATGAAAATGAAAATATGACTATTTTTTTAATCAATTATTTACTGTGTTGCTTTAAATTTATCAGGAAAACTTTTTCCTCGCATGCCTCCACATGAACGAAGAATCCAAAAAAGGTGAACATTCTTCTTTAATTGAAGTAAACGGGGACAAAGCTTAACAACAGCAGAAGTTTATTAAAACATCCATTTACAAACTGTCACACAACTCGTGCTGCATAATCCAAATCTCATTTATCCAGTTTATGCTCAGTATTTCATAAACAAATGCAATTTTTCTAAAACATGACAATATAAAACACCTCCACCTTCAAGCAGCGCGCAGTCCTGAACAAGCGCCTGCATATGGGCCCCGCTTGAGCAGAGTTGCCAGGCACACTGCTCGGCTGTGCACTGCATATAGGTCTACCTACAAGTTTAAAATCGTAATGTTTTAGCAAAAACGCCTGTGTTTGAGAAGTACTGAGCATACAACTGGATAAATGAGACTTGAATTATTTTGCAGGAGTTGTGAGGGTTTTTAAATGGATATTTTGATATAGTTTTGCTGCTGTTAAAAGTGGCCCCAATTACTGCAATTCATTAAGATTGTTCACCTCTTTTTTGGATTCTCTGTTCACTGTGGAGGCAAACAAAGTTTTCTTCACAAATTAAACATAAGAGGCAGTGAGTAACTGATATACACATGGTCATTTAGGGGCAGAAGTATCCCTCTAAAAAACAAGGTCTGGTCATTGCAACATGTGGGCATACAGTACACTGGGCCTTTAAGAGAGAGCTGTCATGAAATCTGAATCCGAGCTAGCAGCAACGTTTCATTTCAGCCATTCCAGAGCTGCACACACGTGACCGAGGCAAACAAACTGGAATGGAGAATTACTTAAATCACACAGTACAACATAATGCCAATGAGTGACATTAGGACTGTCGAAATAATTCACAATATTTGTCTCTGTCACAGCTTAAAAAAAACAGCACTCTCCTGATCACTCAAACCCTTCTGACCTACTTGCTGTCTGCCTCAACACTGTCTATTTTTGGGTTAGTGGCTCAGAGGGCCACAGCGGTGAAGGGGGTACATATCTTTGTCTTTTGCAATTGCTCAGACCCTCTCTAAGCCCCCTGACTGACCCATTCGGCCACATGAACAACACATGAAAAACATGGACCCTGACTGGTCTTTTTAGATCAAAGATAACAGAGGAGCTGATGACTATGGTAAGGCTTTCATGAAGGAATGTTGAATGATGTGGACAGATGACTTACTGTATATGGACAACAGTGGGCTTTTGTTATCTACAGCTAATTTGGAAACATAGTTTATTAGAATCATGGCTGCTTACATGTGAAGTTTATAAAAATATCCTGAAAGGTTTGCCATTGCTGAAGCCTTTTTAAAGATGTAGTTTTGTATTACTTAAATATACTGTCATATTTAAAATATTTGAAATGTTATGCTGATTTATGGCTAATCAAGTAATACAATAATTGCTGTTTTTATTCCCATAGTCAGGACACCTATCCAGAGTTTATTTGACTAAGCTGTTTGATATGATACTGATGACTGTTCAACATTTGTCGCTGTTTTTTCTTTCAGAGACAACCTTCTGACTGTTTGTTCAAAGTGCATAAAACTTCCTCTTTGTAAATACTATTGTTACTACAGTTGAGGCAAAATGGATCTTACAACCAAACATGGACTGGTGCTGCTCGACCAGCTGAAGAAGATGAGGGAGTCTGAGCATCTGACAGACGTTGTGCTGGTTGCTGAGGGCATCAGCTTCCCCTGTCACCGGGTCATCCTGTCCGCCTTTAGCCCATATTTCCGTGTAATGTTTACATGTGGCCTGCGTGAGTGCAACAACAGAGAAATATTCTTGCGCGACACCCCCGCAGACAGTCTGGCCCTCCTCTTGAATTACATGTACTGCTCAGATCTTCCTCTCACTAATGCCAATGTACAAGGCATCTCTATTGCAGCTTTCCTCCTGCAGATGGATGACGTTTTCACTCGCTGTCAGCAGCACATGACCGAGAACATGGATGCTTCGAACTGCCTTGGTGTTTACTATTTTGCCCGTGACCTTGGTGCAGAGGAACTTGCTGACCATGCTCAGCGCTTTCTTAGGCAACACTTTGTCCAAGTCTGCCAAAATGAGGAGGTCCTGGATCTGGAGGCCCATCAGCTGGGGAAGCTCCTGAGTTCTGATGACCTTAATGTTTCCCTCGAAGAGACCATTCTAGATGTGGTCCTTAGCTGGGTCAAACACAGCACTCTGACAGATGGAGAGGTCCGTTTTCTGCACCTTCCAGAGCTCCTGAGGAAGGTCCGTCTGCCACTGGTAAACCCTGACTATTTAAGAGAGGCAATAAGGAGGAACACGGCCCTGCTGGCTGATGCTGAATGTCTTGAGATGGTCAATCAAGCTTTGGAGGCCGCATCGATGCATCCCTCAGCTGCACCACGCAAACTAAAGCTGCGGTATGGCATGGAGACCACAGATCTGCTGCTCTGTGTCGGAAATGACGGCAGTGGGATTAGGTCAAGATATGGAAATTTTTCTGAGCGCAGCTTTTGCTATGCCCCATCCACAGGCCGGATCTACTATATCACGTCACCTCGCTATGCAGAGGCTCTGGGGTATGTGTGTGCCGGGGTTGTAACTGAAAGAAATGACATTATAGTGGCCGGAGAGGCAGGAGCTCGCAGAATGGCCCGACAGAAGGATGTAAATGTTGAGATCTACAGGTAAGATATTAGGTGGTATATTTGATAACTCTGTATATTCTTGCTTCTTTCATTACCCCTTTTCCACCACTATCATTTGACACCATTTGTGCACCAAATTTTGAAGAGTTGGGAGCATTGACCAAAAATAAATTGTTTTAGAACCCAAGAAGTTGGCTTCCAATTGGAACCAAAAAAATAGCAGGTTCTCCTTGACCTGAGGAGCGAACCATGAAGTTCAGAAGTCGTCGACATCCCGCACTTGAGCAGTGACTTGCGGTGTCACACTGACAAAAAAGCCGTCCTTTATCAACAGCATGATACACGGCCGGTTGCCATTATAGTTTAACGGCACTTTGCAGCATCAGGGGGTAATGCAGCGGGACAAAGTCAAAAGTTAAGGCGGTCAAAGTCCGAACAGGGTGGGTGGGACCTTTACTCAGGAGAGCGGTGTTCGCGTCCTGTAAGATTATAAAACCAAACCCTGTTGTTTTTTCCTAAAGCTAACCACATGAGTTAGTTGTTGAACAAAGAAAAGGCCAATTTGGGGTGTTGTACCTACGTAGTGCATTTATTTTGAAAGAGACTGTATGTAAATGGTAAACTTCCTGTGAAAATGAAAGTGCATTTTGAAATAAGACAATGCATGTTACAAGTGGAACTTAACATGGCATCCCAGAACATCAACAACCAATGCACCCAGGGTACCTTTCACGTCGTATCTGGACATGAAAAGTCCATGATCAAAAATTGATATGTGACAAGGTCAGAGTGAAAATGCGTTGACATAATAGTCTTCTACATCTGCTTATCATTAATACTTGGTCCATGCTTGTTTTTTGGATAAATACAGATATCTGTAAGGAGTGGTGTAGTGGTAGTTGATGAGGTGGTTGTGCTACTTGGTAGATAGGTACTGAGGAAGAAGAAGGTATGCTCTCATATATTTTTCGGATGGATTTTTGGCTGATAGGTGGGTATACTGTAAACAGACAGACAAAAGACATGTGTATACCCCAATACAGTGTTGTAGTATTCGAGGTCTGTTTTGGTCTTGAAACCAGTCTCAAGACCACTTTTTGAAGGTCTCGCTCTCTTCTCGGACTCAACCACATTTTCATTGAGTCTTGTCTCGGTCTCAGACAAAGAGCACTCAGAATTTTATTTCAATACCGGTCAAGACCACAACTGCAGGGATATCATCAAATTGCCTGTCTAAAAAATAGTGTTGAAGTAAGCTGGTTAAGTTTATTTCAGCCCCTTTTGTTCATTTATATTTGTTTGCTCAAATGAAACTCCCACACATAATCAGAAACATAAACACATAAAATTCACCTCTGCAATGGCTTTTGATTATTTTATCAAGACATTTCTCTTGACACTTAAACATACACACATAGAATACACACAGTATGCATGAAGAGGAATCTTCATTTGTTTTTATGGGAATGTGGATCTTTCAGATCAGTTTGAGGAGAGCCTATAGTCCACATGTTACCACATATTATCATAGGTGTGTCATGCAGTGTGGGATTCGTACTAGTCTGGTCCTGGTCTACTCTCAGTTTCATTCCCTAAAAGTCTTGGTCATGACTTGGGTCTTGGTTTAGGTGGTCTTGACAACAACAATGCCCTGTATACCTGTGTATACCCTCCACTACACCACTGTCTGTGACTAATAAGAGCTCACAGGTATCAGTACGATCTGCCATCTTGCTACTATTGTTTACTTCCCTTGTGCATTGTGCAACGCCTTCTGTTGATGACACATCCTTGATTACAATGGCTCTGCTCAAAACTGGTGGAACTTCGTGCCGGTTCATAGATAGCACCAAGGTTCTTAGAATCCTGAACATAAAAGAACCAGAGCTAAATTTGGTGGAAAAGGGGTAACAGATGGTAATCATTGTTATCCTGGGTTGCCAGGTATAGAGTAGAGGCCCAAGGAAGCTGGGAGCGCCTGACGTCAGCAGAGTACCGTGATTCATATGCTCTGGGGTCACTGGGTGACACTCTTTACCTGCTGGGTGGACAGATGAAGCTGAAGAACCAGTTTCTCATTACTAACTGTGTGGAGCGATGGTCTATGCAAGGAGGACCCTGGCGCAGTGCAGCACCCCTGCCTTTGCCTTTGGCCTATCACAGCGTGGTCACAATGAAAAATCGCTTTTATGTGATAGGTGGTCGAACGCCACAGGTGATGTCAAAACATCTTCACACATATACTAACTTTTCCGCAGTTATTGTGACATCTAGAAAGTCAGACTTCATTAACACACTTAATATGAGCTCTTACAATATCTGACTCCTCTCTGACTGCACCCGCTCTGCTTTGTCACACTCTCCCTCCCCTTCAACCATACAGTCATACCGGATGGATGATGAGCCTGAATGTCTTAGTAACCGCCTTCTGGAGTATAATCCAGACACAAATAAGTGGACAGAGCTGTGTCCCATGAAGTACTCAAAGTACCGCTGCAGTGTTGTTGTACTCAACGGTGAAATTTTCGTGATGGGTAAGATTCTATGCCCTGTTTCTTATTTTAAATCTCTCTTGGTATGCAAATGAAATGAAGTGCATTGATTCATGGAAGAATTAGTTTTACAAAACTATGCTATTTTGCAGGCGGCATTGGATGCGAGGGTGTAGACCGTGGGCAATCACGCCGCTGCCTCAATGCTGTGGAGATCTACAACCCAGATGGAGATTACTGGAGGGATGGACCTCCTCTCCCAACTGCACAACTCTCACTGCGCACCAATGCCTCTAACGCAGGAGTGGTGGGAGGCAAAATCTATGTGTGTGGATACTACAAAGGAGCAGGTAATGATAGAATATCCATATCCACTGATAAAACCTGTCGAAAGATGTTTCTAAGTAACTGTATTACCCTTTGTGTTTCTCAACTACCTTTAGATCGTCATGATAATATAACTAAGGACATTTTGGAGCTGGACCCATGGGAGAAGCGGTGGACAGTGGTGGCTCGGCACGCTCTGATGCATGACAACTACGACGTCTGCTTAGTGGCAAATCTCAACCCGAGGGGTCTCATGTCCCCCCCTGCAGACTTAGTTAAACAGTGACACCCCTGTCAGATCAGGTCAAAGTTTGTGTGGGAGAATTAGTGTAGGAAATTAATAATGCACTTATTGCTGGGCCAAAAGCATTCACTTTTTTTTCAAGCAGAAAAGGTTGTAGTTGCCTGCATGAAAGAGGATCTGCTGTCATTGATTTGCACGTTTAGAGATTCTCATGTTAATGAGAACAGAAAGATAACTTGTAAATACCGTATGTTTGTTGTTTTTTTATCTTGTTGTGTAACATCAGAGACTGATCACCTGAAACCTGCAGCTGTGTGACACATGGCATTATCAGCAACGCCAGGAAATTATTTCCTTGGACATACCCCCCCCCAACAAAAACAGTTTCAAGTTATAATTAGGGCTGCAATTTAGTTATTTTCATTATCAATTAATCTGACATTTTTTTGGTCATTATTTAGTGTATGAAATGTTAAAAATAGTAGACAAATTGGATTTACAATTTCTCAGAGACCACGGTGAAGTCTGAAGTTTGTTTGTTTTGTCCAACTAACAGGCCAGAACCTTACACTATTCAATTTACTGTCACATACAGTACGACAGAGAAAAACAGGAATTCATCACATTCAAAGCCTGAACCATTCGATGTTTTGTATTTTTGCTGAATAATGGCTGAAACAATTATACCAATTCATTTCCTGTCACTCAAAGGACAACCCAACCGCCAGAAAAAATATTGGCATTCTAACTGTGGTGTAAGGTAGTTATGATAGGCCCCAGTGCACGCTATCATGCACATACCGTCTCATCACATGATCCTAGACACAACATCAACATGTTACCCAGCGATCATTATTGCACTTTTTTATGTAACAAAAAATACCAAAGAAAAATATATTTTTTAATTAATCTAAATAAATAATTATTCATCTAATTTAACAATTTTAATAGCTGATTTATAGTTATAGAATAAGTGTATAATTTCATTGTAGATGCTGTTAACTATTTTACAAAAAAGAAAAAGAAAAAAATAAACATCACAGACTGTTTAACTTCACGAGAGTTCTTCTTTGAACACAGGCATATTTTCATGGTGCCAATCGCTCATAAGGACCCATTCTCGGAGGGCCCACTCTCTCTATGGGCCCTGCACCTCAAAGGCACCAGTGCATCTGCACTGCCTGCACTGTCTATATTTACACCGCTGCATTGTATGTTTCTGCAAACCACGGATATGTTACATTTGTATGTTATGATGTAGTGGATACGTTAAAATACCTGGTTTGGAGGGCACTATCCACAAGATGTGGAGGCTAAAAAGCCACTGGAAACACAGTGATGACTTGCTACAACACAAATGGTGTTGTTGTGTCTTTGTCTTTGGCAGCCATCTGATAGCACAGCACCAACTATCCCCTTCACCTCTCGGCCACAAAGTCAGCCCAAATATAACTTCAGAAACACTGATATGTGTGTGAAAGACACAAATGTAACCTGCTAGTGGTTTGCAGAAACGTACGCTAACATTTTCTTCTCTCAAATCAGCTGTAGTTCAGGAAGTGATCATTGTAGCTCTGGTTATAATTATGGACTTCGATATAAATCATACCCGAGACACTGGTTTGGTCTATTACTGCAGGGCAAATATTAAGCCTTATAATGCATATGGTTAATTGACATTGTCAGATTACATATACAGTATAAAACTGAATATTTTATGTTGTATCATCAACTTGTTTCTTCCTTTTGTGGTATTTTTGCTGAAGCATAATGAAATGTTTTCTGCTAATAAACACACACCTTAATGATACTATTGAGGCATGGTTATTTATCTGAACACAGACACTCAATTCTTTTAGTTTATTTTTCAGGTAAGCAGTATAAATACAGAATAAGTTTTAAAAAAATCACCCAAGTGTTACAATATTTTTTATGTCAGCAGGTCAACTTCAAATATGTGTAAACAGACATATTTGTGGGTCAGTTTGTCCTTAACGTACTTTTCATTAGTAGTTTTTTTACACCCCTCCGCAGCTCTTCCACCATCAAAATAAGATAAAAACATTTGTGTTTATTCTTTAAAAACTGAATAACAAGTCATGTAACAAAAGACACAAGTGATAATAAATATACCAATAAACATTTCTGGCTTTTATTCCCAACAATAACAACACAAAGGCTTCACTCATGCTCTAAAAGCCAAAACCACAGTCCATCTCAAACAACTGCAAGAAGCCTTCAGGTTTCACTGGGGTCCCTGGTTTGGACTCTGCCGAGAGCTTCTCTGAGATGGTTTCGACTCCTGCGAGGCTGTCGGGGCTGTTGCTGTCCTGAGACCAGCAGGTGAGAGGGGTGATGAAACATCCCTCAGCGATGGATCTCACCTCCCTTTTCTGCGGTTTCATACTGTCTAGGTTGAGACTGCTCTGGCTGGTCACCGTGTTCAGATCATGACGCTCACAGAGAGGTACTGAAACTTTCTGATGTTTGTCACAGTTCATGGGAGGCTTACGATTTTCATCCGTGACAGTGCGCTTCTTCCTTTGTGAGAGCACCAGCGGCCTCTTTTTGTGCCTCCCATGGCCTCTCAGAGAGAATTTCCTCTTTCCTATGATGCACCTGGGATCCTGAGGGGGAGCGTCCACCTGACTGTGTTCAAGGTTGGGTGTGTTACGTGTCAGCTGTGTGCTTTCAAGCATGTTGTCCTGCAGGAAGTCGGATAATGGCTGCTCCAGCCCTGGTGACGTCTGGATAGCACTGTCTGTCACTTTCCCAGGGCTGGGTTTGGCTGAGTGCTCTGAGACAAAAGTGCTGAGCAGTTTCAGACCCTCCTCAAGCATGTTTCGTTGTTTCTCATGCTCCTCTCTCAGACACTCCAGACTATTCTTTAAGCTTTGCAGATCTGAACAAAATTCTGCTGTGGGGTCCCCACCCTAAATGGTAAAGATCACCAGTTACACTCATCACTAGTTACAAACATTTATTAAAGAAAATCTACTTTCATCTCATTGAAACTGCAGCAACTGGACATTAAGCTACATACATACTATTCACCTTTTGCATCCTCTCCTCCAGTTCAGCCATCATCTCTTTCTGGGTGTTCACTTTATTCAGCAGAGTCTCAAACTGCTGGGAAATGTCACTCTGAAGACTGTTCAGATTATTTTGCACTGGGATGAATAAATGAAAAGACGGAAATGCGCATTTAAAACAAATCTTTCATCTTCATGCACTGAAAGTCAAAACTATTTAAAAATGTATGGAACCATGTAGTAATTATTCAAAGTTAGAGGAGATTGTGGGTGCCCAATGTTTGATCACCGGGCAAAGAGCACCATCTACTGGCAATAATAAATGCTTGCTCACTGCCTTTTGACATTTTCTCAAAAAAAAAATCCTCTTAGAGTTAGATCCTGGTAAAGATAAAATTTATTTACAAAGTATCTTAGCCCTGAAGAGATCTCCTAAGGTGAAAAACTATCAGCAGTAGGGAGGAGGCCATTTAAGAGGCTTAAGAGTTTTTTAATCAGAGGAGAAAATGGCAAAAACAAAAAGAGGTAGGAGAAATATTCTCCAAATGCTGGATGACAGTGAGTCAATAAAATGCTATGGATTAGATTGTGCAGGGATAATTCCTGTCGTCAATCTCATTAGAGATGCACTCACACCTTCCACTTCACACAATAACAAAATAGCATCAGAAATAAAGTGATCACAACGCTAAGATATTTGGCAACTAGAAAAACACAATAGTGCAGCAGTGATGATTCATGTCTGTCTCAACGTTCCATCAGAAGAGTGATCACACTTACAATTACAGCACTTTCACAGTCTCATATTGTGACTTAGTTAATGTTATTTCCTCTGGATATCCACCCCTTGCAGACTCACAAAAGGACAACCAATCACATCTTTTTTTTAAAAATCCCCATACCTAACAAGGTGTTCAGCCACACCTCACACCACACCTATGGTAAAAGGCCTTTCTTTCTTTCTTTCTTTCTTTCTTTCTCGGAGATGCAAAGATGCTCAGAGAGCTAGAGTTAGGACACGGCCCCTGATCTTAAGTGTGCAAAAAACAGCTCTAAATTCAAAGATGTTAACAAAAAAATACATAAATTAATTAGTAAACTTACATGTTGATGCAAAATTGTCAAATTTTTGCAGGACTGTTTGGCACACAGACTTATTTCTCTCTGTGCCAGCGACCAGCTGTTGGATCTGAAAAAACATGGCAGCATTTTCTAACTTGTTCCATCTACAAAGACGAGCTGCATCATTAAAAAAGCAACCAAATGGACGCCCACATCACTTACATTGTTGAGAGTCTCCCGAAAATGACTACATTCTTTGGCTAATATGTCACTGTTAAAGCAAAAAAATACATGTGTAAGAAAGGTCAGAAGTGATGAAGCCTGCTTTTTAAAATCTCATCAATATAAATTCAAGGTGAGTACCTGTCAGTTTTTTCTTTTGCCCTTCTCTTGTCCTCCTCAAATTTATCCAGTGTTCCAAAAGCTTTGCTCTTGTCTTTGAAATCTCCAAACAGGAGAGGTTTAGTGTGATAATTGCTTGAAAACTTTGGATCACTTCCCTAAATGGAAAAGAAAAATCATCGTAACTGATTTTCACATAATCTGAATGATGATTAATAGAACTGTATGTGCTCATAAGTTTTCAATATGACAATACATGTTATCCACCAGCCTCCTGAATAACTGCACTCAATCATAATGACACATTTAAAGTGCTAGTTCACATTTTTGGAGATGGGGCTGTAAGAGGTTTTTATCCAGTCAGCCTGTCCCCAAATTGGAGAAGCAGCAGACTACCAACATGGGAGCTAAGCAGTGTACTGCTGTGGACAGGTGCAGCAGCAAAACATATTTTAGCCACCTATAAAAGGGGAATATGGAAGTTCTATGGTTGAAAAAAAGTAAGTACAAGAAGAAAGGGCTGTCAGATAGCAAGGTAAAGAGCTGAAAATATTCTCAATATAGTGTCCGCTTAGATTGGTGTCTGCTGACTGACAACACTCCTGCAAAAATCCCCATCAGCTGTCCCATTAGACCCTTGACTTTGCTCACTTATAAATATTATACTGAGTGTAACCTACATCTAAGTAATAATGTCATCAAACTGGAGGGGCTGGGTCAGAAGATTTTACTGCCTGCCACACCAACAACTTCTTATAAACGAAGTTGAAAATTCTCACCTCTTGTGAACTTTGTTGGGAGGTCCTGGATGACAAACTCATATCTTGAGATGTGCCTTGAGAATTTTCAGGCCAAAACTGAGACCCAAAGAAAATCTGAGAGTCTGTGAAACTCGAGTATCCGCTGGTAGACACATTTCTGTTGTTCCCAAATGGTTTGATGAGTTAAGAAAACACAAACAATTTGATTGTGTAGCTAAACACACACACACATTGCTCTCAAATGTAGGGCTTGATGATTAAATATTATTACACAGTTTTACGAATTAAAAATGATTGACCACAGTTTCATTTAATATTACTAACAACTGGAGAAGAGTAGTCACGTGAGCTAATGTGAGCGATTGTTAAAGTGATAATCTCGAAGATTTCCATTTAAATAAACGTCTGTTAGTTATTATCTATCACTGAATGAGGTAACACATTGGTGATGGAGCCTATGGCCCAAAAAACATGTTTTGAGAAAGGTGTTGGACCACAAAGTGCTGCCAGAATAGCTTTAAATATCTTGTGTGCTAAGCATGTAACTACGGTGGTAAAAATGCTCTCTCTAGAGCCAGTGTTTGATTTGTCCGCTCTGGGCCACTGTACAACAATATGGTGGAATCTGTGGAAAAGGACCAGGGGCCTGTATCACGAAGCAGGATTAATGTCTTATTGAGGTAACTTCAGGGTTAACCCTGGGTTTTCGGTCTCACGAAGCCGGTTCAGTTCTTATCGGGGTAGATCACCATGGTAACTTACTATGAACGGCTATCCTGCTCCGGAGCAGGGTAAGATCAGGGTTGAATCTGATCCTATAAAGAGCTCCACCCACTGGCCAATCAGCTGTTCGGAAAAAAAAGACTCCGCTGACAGAAATGCAGCCCAGTCATGATGGGAGGTTTAATTAATTTGATTGATTTTGATTTGAAAGTTTATTTTGAACATTAAAAAAGAAAAGAAAGCAACAACAACAGACAATGAAAATATTCTTCAAAAAGGAGTGGAAAGAAGTCGAAATTTCATCCCACCCCTTCATAAGAAAGAAACTGATCATTTGCGGACACTCAATAGCACCATTAATTAGTGCCATCATTTTGTTTTGTTGGAGGAAATGATCCCTGTTAAAGATAATGGGCCTAATTGACAGCTTTGCTGCTGGAAATGTGGAAAGTAGCCTATTATGTCTACACTTCATGGTGTTTGATGGATTTTCCTTTTTGTTTTTTAAAGAGGGAGACTAGGTATATTTTTGCGTAGCTGTTAATTTCTAACACAGCTCAATATCAGGATGATTGTATTCAGACTATCAATTTGGCGTTGGTATGATTTAATTGTGGCGTCAGCTTTAAGCTTTATTGTAGCATATTAACGTTATGACAAAGAAGACCAATTCATCAGACGTAATGATGTTAGACGATAATTGTAATACACGCAATTCATCTGCGCAGCATTGATTTCATGGGATTCAAGGGTGTGATCAGTGTCAGATGTACAGGTACTGTAGCTACTTGAACCAGAACCAGTGATGAGTAATTTAACCTACACGTCATTTTATTTGCTACCTTGTTTTGTCTTGATTTTTCCCTCTCTCCTCCTCTATTTCTTCTTTC